AAATAGTCACTCATTTCTGGGACTTGAACTGGGAGTGTCTGTCAGGTTCAGTTTGTCTTCGTGAATGTCGAACAGAGGCCTATGCACTCACACAAGGGCCACGTGCCATTCTGACAGAGCACCTCACTCTTGGCCCCTCTCTCCTACCTTTTAATCTACACTTGTTTTTCAAGTACGTAGTTTTAGGGCAGAGAAGGACGTTTAAGAACCGAAAACTGGCTTGACCTTTCTCCTGCATGTAGCTCATAGGAGAGAAGGAGCCAACTGATACTGTAGTTTTTCATGGATTTTATGAACATATTAGCATAGGCCTTACTGAGTGTTGCTGAAGCAGCAAATGACTTTTAACCCCTACCTACCATTTGGTTCAAGCTTTTACCGATGTTATGCTTCAGAATTTATAACATTGCCAGATTATATTTCAGGTTAATGCTATGCAGATGTGTTTGTCTGCTTGAAGTACTGCTAGGAACTTTTTGTTAGTGTTGTTTTCTGTTTGCAAATGTGTGCGGAGAGACGTTGAGCAAAAATAGGGAGCGTTTGTGTGTGTTTATGTAAGCAGTAGCACCCTCTAGGGGAATACATGGTTCAGACTGGTCGAGCTCCGGATGTCTTTCTCAAATGATCACTTGGCGTCACTGTCGGTTACACCAGTTTTAGACGACAGGAGGCTCAGTGGGACTAATCTGGTGCAGTGCCAGTGTTCTCCGACTCCTCTCCTCCACACTTCCTGGAGGATTGATAGAAAGTAGAAAGTACTTAAGAGCTGCTCCTCGTCCCGGAGCGGAATCTGACATACCACCAGCAAGCTTTCATCACATTCAGACTGGGTGTGATGGTTGGGTTCTCTTCAATGTTCTGTTAACTCAACAGGACACTTCCCAGCTCACTTAGGATCATGGGAAATTATTGTGTTAAATTTGTCAGTTTGTTCCACTTCACTTTGTAAAACCACATCCACATTACCCATCACATGGCACCTACAAATCTCTCACTGTAAAAATGTTCATTGAATGTTTGTGACAATGTTCCTCCTGTTTTTTTTTCCTTTTTTTCTTTTCGTCCCCCTCAACACTTTTTTTGTAGTGGAAGCACAGATGTGTATGTCTTTTCTTCCTGTCATTGAGTCTGTTCAGCGCTACATGCCGTACTTTTGTCTGCTTAAGCTTTGGATTAAAAAACACATAAAACAAAACCCCTTGGTCTCTTATCTTCTTGCATCCTCATTAGCTGCCACTAAGGTAGCAGCTTCTTTTTCCTGCGGTCCGCACACAACAAAACGTACATACAGGAGAAGACCCATGACATATAGAAGAGTAAGACCAAACAAAGCTATTATTACACTCTAATTCTTTGTGTATAATGAATATCACTTAGTTTCAGTAAATAGAGTTAATATCTCTTCAAGTTAAGCTTTGCCTCTCTTTATCCAAATAAAGTAGAAACTATCTTTGAAATTATCTATAGGTTATAAGTTATTTGGCTTTTTTTAAATCTGTGTTGCCGAAAAAAAGAATACCTACTCTTAAAAATGAGCAAGTAACGCAGACACTTTCTTATGATAGCCAACTTGTCTACTTGTTACATGTGTGTTACTGTCAGGTTGTTGGTCCAATTGTTCATCAAATAAATATCTTGGTTAAATCCCAAAGGGATTCAAATTTAAATATTTTCTCCATGGTTGACCTCTGCCTCTACATTTAGAGATTTTTTCTTCTCAATCAAGTCTTCAGGTATGACTCAGGGTCGGCTTGGAATATGAAGCTTTGACACGGGGTGCGCGGTCTCAACTTGTGACAAGCATACTTGCGGTCATGAGTGACTCCTGGAATATACGCATTTGCGTAGCAAAACAGTGACAGACTGGTGGCATTGACTCAACACGGACATTTGCCAACACTGGGGTGTTTAGAGCAGTTTCCCGCTAATGCACAAGGTTATTTTTCTTCAGGTGTGAGGTGGCCGTAGGCACTCAGCTTCCAGCTTTGAGTGTGACGAAACCTACAGTCATCTCGTCAGTCTCGTCTGTCAGGTAAGGTATGAGAAAGGGTTTAAGTGGGGCTTAAGGGGAGTCCCTCCTGACAGTAATAGAGGTTCAACCCCCTAACCCACCTACAGCAAACCTCAGGTACCACCATACATGCTCTCAGAAATGGAAGGAGTGCCCTGTCATCCTTTTATTGACTGAGTGGTGGGGAACCCAACAGGTGTAAATTCAGAGAGCTTAGTAGTCCATACTGTATTAAGCTTCTGACATAATTTTTTTGTTACATTGTTATCACAATATAGATAAGTTATCTTCTCAACAGTTTAGCACCATCAGAGGATTTCCGTTGTCAGAGAAAATCTGAGAAGGCATTCATTGATTCACAAATATAAAAACGAGTGATGAAATCTTGGTTGGAAACTGAAACATGTCAGCATAAACGTGCCAGCATGTCTGTCGTTGTGTGCACCGCTTTTATAGGTGAGGGGAAATGTGAAGGATGGAGACTTCTCAGCTGAGGCGATGACACAGCTCGGAGTTCTTTGAAGTGGCCTGCCATCCTGATTCTCACACAGGCGCTTCTCATATCGCCCCACATATGACACAGCGGACCCCGGCAACCCGCCCCAGATAAGGTAGCAATAGTGAGACTCCACACATTACCTCAGCAAAAAAGCCGGATCTCAGTGAAACTTGGCAAGGTTTTCAGACATGATCAAATGGAAAACCTTTCATTGTCAGTTCTACATGTAGAACAACATTTGCAACTCTTTCACATGTGCTGGAAATTAGATTGTTCTTACTGTCAAGTACAGCTCTCAGGTGCATGTTGTGGTTTATGTGGTTGCTTTGATTGTTTTAGCTTCCTGTTTGTTTCTTTGCTGATTATTTTAAAAACATGCTTCTTTTGTAGGAACACATTCTTTGTTATCTTCTAAGAAAAGTTCCAGTGGCAAATAAAGACATATGTCTATATTTATGTACACACACATATGATGATGCAATACACAATATTTCAAGTGTATAATGGAATGCCTCGATATCATACACTTTGACTGAGTTCATAATAGAAAGAGCGTGTCACTTTGCACTAAAGCAATGTCAGCATATTCAGATATCTGTAGCATCTCTACTTTGGAACAATCTAATTTTGTGCTTGACTCATCAGTTTATAAAATTCATCAGTCTTTATGATTCAAAATAATGAATCAGAGCGGATGTTTTCGACAACTTTTGTGACGTTCTATTTCCTTCTTGTCAAATGGCAGTTTTTAATCTCTCACATCTCAGCTTTTCTAAATTTCATGTGGCCTCAACTAGGAGCGTCTCAGATGCTCAGATAGCCTTGGAACTCTGTCTGGACGACATTCACACTCTTCTCATGTTAACAACTGAGTGCAACACTAGGAATGCTTTGTAGGAGAGACCATATGAAAATGTGCTGCGTTATCCCTCTCTCTCCCTGACGGCTGTCTTTCCACTCCACCTTCAAGTGTGGCCTTTTGGAACTCTTTTGATATCTGACAGATTAGTTCTGTTGAACCATAATCTGACTCTGTGTATATTACATTTTTGCAGAAGAGGGTGTCCCGTTTTTGTCACTCCGTTATGGATTTTTCCCCCATTCATTCTGGCCTAACTGTTCAGCCGCTCTTATGAGATTTTCTGAAATATTTTTTTATAGTATGTCTTGGGTGTGTATTGAGGTTTTTTTGTTTTTCATGGGCCAGATTCCAAAGAAAATAGACGTTTTTTTATTAATAAATAATAAATCCCCAGTATTTTTGTACAGTCCCTAATGATGATTTGCTGAGTCAAACAGTTTAATACCAGGTGCCTAAATAAAAGCAGTGGCAGGCTGAACCCAGGACTTTCTTGTTGTGGGGATTTAGGATATCTTAACTGTCCAGGTGAAAGTTGTGTTAGATTTGACCCACATTTTAGATAAAAGTAAAACAAATTTGCCATTAATCACAATCATTTAATGGTGATTTTACATTTTTCATCATTTTTACATTTTTCATCCCTGCAGTGCGGGGGAGGACATAACTAATTGTGCAAATTTTGGATGATGTATTGGTGTCAATGACGGTGTCGTTTTTTCCCCCTCAAAACCATTGCTCTCTGACAGAAGCATCCAGTCATTACATAAGAGCAGCCAGACATGATCTTAACCAACTTGTTACCTGACAGGCAAATCAAGACTAAAACACTGGTTTGAAGGAGAATGAATCACACTTATTTAAGAATTTTAAAAGGAGTTAACATGACACTGATTAACATGATTCATCCTTAAGGAAACTGCTATTGACACGGGTCAAAATGAAATAGTCATGCTGCAAACAAATGTTATGAATGATATTTTTGCATAAGATAGTCATTGCTGGAATGATACTATTCGGATCATGTAGTTTCGGTTGGAGGCCTGAGTCAAGTCAGGAACCTTACCCAACAGTCAGACTCACTGTCAGGCATATACGTGCACGTACATTCAAACGTTATTACAGTATGCAGCGCATGTTTTGGGGCCTTTTGTGTTAAAAACATTATAAAAACCTGAAAAAAACCTGCAGTTACCCCCTCTGGCTCTGTCACTATGAAGAAGGTGATGTATTAGCACATAAAAAAGGACAATTTTATCCTTGTTTAATACAGGACTTGCTCTATTTCACCCTGTGTATTAGTTCAGTTTTATAATATGTGTCTGTGTGACTAAGTGAGATTGCTTTTGCATGCACGTGTATGCGAGTACTTGTGCAAGTGTGCAATATGCCATGAGGGTGAGGCTGGCTAGTTACAGTTACGGTAAGTTAAGATACAGCAGGGCCTCTGCTGGTAAGTGATGTATATGGGTCACGTTTGAGGTTAGTGCATCAGCCTGTTGAGATTACACTAGTGGTTCCCCACATATAGACTGCATCTCTGCAGGATGTTATGTATTCAGTGCTCACCCATTCCTAATAAACAGCACATGAATAGCAGCTGTACCATCTTGTGAAATAAAATCAAGTCATTATTTTTCAACACATTTATTTATATAGAACAAGACAATAATAAATACAAAAATACACATTATATATGATTTAAAAAAATAATAAATATGGCTTTCACGGTTTAAAAAAAAAAAACAGTTAAAGACTCAATATGGTCAGAATTCTTGTCCTCAGGACAAATGTTAAATAGAAGTCATCAATGCAATCTTCTTCCCAGGGTCACATTCAGACAGAGGCTGCATGGTTTCTGTGTTGTTTAGAAGCCATATATGTCTCAATGTAGTTGAACAGCAGACCCAGCTCGCCCATGGCCTTATATAGACCTTTACTCTCCATCTGTGGATAAACACATGGCCCAGTTTATTGACATCATCTGTCAAAATACAAGCATGCACACATACATGTTTTAAAAATTTTCAGAAGTACAGAGGACATCTAGGCACTTACCTGAGTGTAAGTAGAGTTTAGGGTATTTATGTCAAAATGATGCTTGCATTTGAAGTAATGTCTCTGTAAGAAACAATAAAAAGATTATGTTAGCAAAGGCATTACCAACTTTCTTTACACTGTCCTGCCCCTAATTAACAGCCCCCCCTCCTCACACACTTGTAGCAAGTTAGGCAGAGCTAGAGCAACTTTGTCAGTAGCAGCATGTCCTCACTTGTGCTTCTTCCCCTTTTGCAAGAATTTGATGATGTACAGTTATGCATGCTGCTGCAGTTTAGAAATCACTGACTAATGCAAAATGATGACCTGTCCTATGAGCCATCACTGGACACACCCTTTCAGTCGTTTGCCACATGCCAAAAAGTGCGGGGAATATTTTGAAAGTTTCCGGATGTAGTCCAAACGAGAAGATGGTCTGGCTTGTGGCAGACCACTGTGACAGCTAATCACGTGTATTCATGAAAAGCAAGACCAGTCGCCCCAATGTTCCTGGAGTCCAAATATAACCTTTTAGTGCAGTGTAGCAATTGGGAAACATTTCAAATGTATATCCTCCAGGAGGGAATGATACACAATACGGAGGTCGATTTTAATTTATTTTCCTTAATAGTTATTCAACAATATCACAGCGATGCTGCACAAGGACAATAAAATCATCTCGTCAACGAGTGCATGTGGACAAATATGCAGCTACACATTGCGCACTGGATGCTACGGAGCTCTTATGGAGCTGACTGCAGCGCGCAGTCGGTGCGTATTTACATCTTCATTCTGCTGTTGGAGTAACACGTGTAGCAGATACTCACACATCTGGTGACATCACTCTTGAGCTGGTCGAAGATCTGCTGGATGGACTCCATGTGAGGCTTTAAGTCCTTAGTGTCTTCCGTCACCCCGGCCATGGCTGTCGGCAGAACCGTGCTTAGATAAAACTCCAGTATGCTGTTAATGGCGTGGCAAGCGAACGGGGTCTGAAAGTGGGAGGAAAGCGCCAGCCTGGTTATATGATGTCATTTAACTCTTTACTGGCGTGCTCGACTTCTCAGTAAATGTATGCTCTGTGCTTCCGATTTGACTTTTAGAAGTAGCGCTTTTCTTTTTTTCCATACAGAAAGGACTTCGTGGAGATTTAGTAGGCAAACTTACCTTTAAAGTGTCTTCGACAGTCTGGTCTAGCAGCGCTGCATCCAAGTCATCGTTGGCTTCCTGCAAAAAGAAAACAACCTTGTGCTCAGTGTGCTGCGAGGCACTGTCAGCAGGTGCAACTGACAGCTGGACACAGTGAATAGACATAGCTACATGGCCACATGGACGGTGAGGATCTATCCAAGTGATGCTGCACTAACTCTCAAGGTATGTGCCGAGGCAATAATAATAATAGTAATAGTCCTCACCATCACCATAATAGCTATCAAAAGATATCCATCACCATAATAACCATAATAATAATGTTAATAATAATAATAATAATAATACTGTGCTTTTACTCACATAGAAATCTTGGATCTCTGTGAAGTCTGCTCTGAGTTGCCTTAACATGCCAGGGAAACCCTCCACAAAACGACAGCACTGGTTGTTGCACATGGGACTGCACCAGACAGTGCAGAAGAAAGATAAGACGACCAAGATGGACAGGAGAAGAGACCGAGGAGTCATGCTGGTGGACAAGCTGCTGAAGTCTTCTGGAGGCAGAGAAGAGAAGAGTGGGCCCTCAGGGTGAAGATGCTGCTGAAGTTTTTCTGACTTCTGACTGGAGGAATCTTGGTAGGGTCTTGCTGAACAGGTCAGAAGAGAAAAATTCATACATTTGGGCTCATCTGTTGTCTTAATTTATAGCCAGATATGAAGGCGGAGACTAACAGGAAAGCCAACATACTTCATACATACAGGGAAATTTTTTTTTTGCTAAATCATGAATTAGGTATGAGCCACACCTCCCATGAGATAGGCTGGTACTATTGATAGATCTCAAGAATATTCACCATCAAAAATCATTTATTATGTATTCTGTATTTTTTCCATTTCACTACTTACTTACTTATTATTTTATATTAATATTATTATTATCAGTGTTATTAAGGTAATAGTATTAGTAGTAATGTGACTGCACATATCGGTCCCATCTAAGGTACAGTGACATTGTCTTTATCCACTGAACTAGCACAGATAAACAGACTTAAAATAGATACTGCATAAATTAGTTTTTAAAATTGCAATTAAGAGCAGTAAATCACATTATATTGTTCCATGCATTCACAATAACAGAGGAAATAGTGCCACTCAGATGGAAATGACTTAAGCTGTGGTTTGATTTTGATGACGCTATGGATTCAGACATGCGTAAGACTGACAAGACTGAAGACAGATGACATCTAATTGTCTTTGCTTTTTGCTGGTGATTGGAGTCCTGGTATGGTCATGGTTAATCTTTGATGAGGTTTGCTTAGACTTGCATGTACATGGCCTATATATATATATATATATATATATATATATATATATATATATATATATAATATGAAAAAAGAGAAACCTCAGAGAGAAGTCATGTGGGACTCAATGATGGCAGGGGTGTTTTCCCTTCAGTACTTTTTCTGTTTTGTCCACTTTTCTATATGTATTTGTGTGTTCGGTTTATGCTGTCTTAGCCCTTTTTTGTTGGGTAACAGTGGAATTTTGAAAAATCATTCCCAGTGATTATCTCTGCATGATGAAGACTTCACAGTCTGTACAAATACACTTTAAGACAATCTGTCAAAGTTCAAGTTAAAGTTAAATTACTGGATGAAGCTTGGGTCATACTGAAGATAACACAGCATTAAATAAATAAAAACAAAGACAACACAGACAAATGTGGTAAACCAGTGTGCCAATACTTGAGTTTGTTCTTAAAAAAGCTTTAGTATGGAAGATTTAAAATGCCTACAAATGAAAACAACTCAATGAATATACAATATCTACAGTTTTTCATTGTGACAATTTTCCATGTCAAGCACATAAAACAAAGTGAAGAGGTGTATTGCATTTCAGTGTTGCCCAGTAGCATTGAGCTGCAACTATTTAATACAAAGCACGTTCGTTTTGTCCACCCGACTCGATCTCCGAGTCGGTTTCCTGAGTTACGAACCGGAAGTTGCAAACAGAATTCCCCGAGGACGTATAAAACGACTCGTTAAGTCGTCTGAACTCAGAGGACCCTGAGTTCAGTTACCAAGATGGCTACTCCGAGCATCACACCTAGTAAACACTGTGGTTTTCTACTATTTTAAGCACTTTTGTCTTTGTTGTAACCAAATGAAGAAGTCGTACACATAGCACTGTATACTGTTACCTATAGGCATGTCGCTACAGTCTTATGATGTGTTAAATACCGCCTAATTAGTTATTTTGTCGCTTGTGCAGCTGAAATTGGCTAGAGACGCTCCATGTTGCTATGACAACAGTGCCGAGTCTTGAACAGAAAGCAGAGCAGTAGCGTAACGTTAACGTTAATTAAAACGGAGTATTCAGATATCAAACTGTGAAATATGATTGTGTAATATGTAATGAACATGTGAAATCCGCGGTGGGTGCACCGTAAACCAGATAATCACTATAAACGTTAGGAAACGTCCAAACTGCCTATTGCAACCAAGCTCGTCGTGTTGTGTGCCAAACAGAACGCAAAAACCAGCGGTTATTCGTTTTCAAACACGGATGTGACTTCGCTCTCGAGCTGCAAGGCGCGATTACAAGACAAAAGGAACGCACCACTGCAGATGCAAGGAGGTATCTCAGGGAATGGCAGCAGGCGGGGCTTAATGTTGGCAGCCATGACAGTTAGCCTTTCGAATCCAAACAGCTCTGAAAACGCAAAATTGGCTCTGAAACACTGAAATGTAATATACATTTTCACTTTCTTTTATGTGTTGTGATGTAATTTTACTTTATTTTTTTGTTTGACTCAATACATACATGTGTTACATAAACTAACAAATATCCTAAAATTCAAAGTTTTTAGTCAACATGCATGTGAGTCACTTGTTAACTCTCAATTTCAAAAGTTATAACAGTTTAGTGATAGCAAAAATAGCGTTTTGAGCTAGTACAATAATAAGTACTAACTACACAGACAGGCTACGACAACTGTGGCCCACTACAAAAGTAGCATACACACTGAAGATAGAGAAATGGTGTCGGTTTGGGATTGAGAGAAGAAAAAAAAAAACAAGAACAAGTTGTCCAATTAGTTCCCAGAGAATTCTGTGAATTGCGAAATCCAAGTAAGACTGGACAAAATGAACTGCATCAATACGCAGAAAAATAGGTCATTGCACTTGTATATACAAATTACAGCAGCTAAAAAATGCTGGTTTGCATTCCAGTGGATTAACCTAAAGTAGATGTTATTCTGTAAACTGCTCAAAATGTAAGAATTAAATAATTTAATTAAAGTAATAGATATAGTAAGTTATAGATTGTTGTACCATGTATAGATTTCTTGTGTCTTTCAAGCAACATGCTGTATGTATCATATACATTTAAATATATGTACATATTTTATATATACATATGAAAATTCATATGCAAAAAA